GGGGAGGGGGACATTCGGTCCGTAACAACCACTGAGGTGTCAACTATGGCACAGAAAAGCTGAAAGCCAGCTCTGCAAATAGTCACTGATTGGCTTAAAATTATCTCTTTGATCTATCCAGGAGCAAAAACATAGTTTATATACACACCTCTCTTCTGCTGTAAATCTTTGAGTTTCACAGTGAAACTCCCTTCACATAGGGGTCAAAGAGTTTTGCCATTGAATCATATTCTTTGAAGTTCACAAAGGCAATAATATGTCAGTTTCTAAATAAATCTTACCTTTCCCCATTTCTATGTTCTGTAATTTTCTTGGTCAGGACTACTATATAGTAACCAATGACTTGCTATCTCCCCCTTTCCCGTCTTACTTTCCTTTTGTCCATTCTCCACACAGCAGTCACTGATTTTAAACAACTTATGTAACTACCCACTGGAAGCCCTTCAATGCTGTTTTTTTGCTCTTAGGATAAAAGTACAAAACTAATGGCAACTTCCACTTTCAGTCATGATGGAGTTAACAGGGACCAGATATAAATTTCTGCCTTAAAGGACAAAATTATAAGAATGGTTTTTAAAAATTAAACAATAGGCAGCACAGACAGTAATACCAGAGAGAAAGAAAACAAATAAGATGAGCCCTACAATTGTCCTAGCTTTCTGCCTGGAGAGAATTTCTAGGCTACAATACAGGAAGAGTGAAACCAATCAGAGCCTGTAGGTCTTCCTAAATTAAGGAAACACACTTCAGACGTTGGGGAGGCCTAGGCAACTAGAATTTGCAGAGGGAAGTGCCAGAGAGGAGAGTGTTGCATAAAGATTGAGTTCTGGAGATTTGTGAAGGGTTCCTCCTTGAGATTCCAACTAAGTACTGACTAGTGTACATATAGGAGGAAACTACCAAGACCAAGGAAAGGACCACCATAAAGAGTCAGGCAGAACAACCCCCTGAGCTCACACAGGAACTATTGGGTTGTCGGAAAAGTGATGACTCATGTTTGCAACAGATGACACTAGTTCATTTTGGGAAATACCAGAGTCATTTGCATCTATGTTACTGCTATGTCATTTGACAGCTGACAGTTCTAGCTTCATTCTAAAAAGATTGAGTGATTTGGTTGAGTTTTGGAGATTTTACAAGTTGAAGATGGAAGACCAAACTGCATTTTTGCCATATTTTACTGTTTTACTTCCATAAAGGGAAGAATGTGTGTCAAACTTGTAAAAAGTTGCATAAAGTTTAAGATGACAATGCTCTACAAAAACGTCAGTGCCAACGATGGTTCACGAAATTCCGTGCTGGTGATTTTGATCTAAATGACGCTCCTCGGTCAAGTAGGCCCACCGAGGTTGATGACGACAAAACAAAGGTATTGATCGAGTCAAACCCACGTTACACGACACAAGAGATTGCAGACATATTGAACATCCATCATTCAAGCATTCATAACCATATGAAGAAGCTGGGATACATAAGCAAGCTCAATATTTGGGTTCTGCATGAACTCAAAGAAGTTCATTTGACGGCACGTATAAACATCTGCAACATGCTCATTAAACGTGAGGAAAACGATCCTTTTTTGAAGCAACTGATAACTGGTGATGAGATGTGGATTGTTTACAACAATGTGGTGCGCAAATGGTCTTGGTCCCGACGTGATGATTCGCCTCAAACGACATTGAAAGCAGACATTCATCAGAGGAAGGTTATGCTCTCGGTGTGGTGAGATTTTAAAGGTGTCGTGTTTTTCGAGCTCCTACCAAGGAACCAAACAATCAGTTTGAATGTGTACTGTTGGCAACTGGACAATTTGAATGAATCCATCATCCAGAAACATCCAGAGCTTATTAATTATAAAGGAGTTGTGTTCCAACATGACAACACGAGACCGCACACAAGTTTCATCACCCGTCAAAAATTATGGGAGCTTGGATGGGATGTGTTGCCACACTCACCATACTTGCCTGACCTTGCACTGTCAGACTTCCACTTGGTTTTCTCTCTTCAGGACTCCTTGCGTGGTATAATGTTCAATACAGATGAGGCTGTAAATCAGCATCTTGTTCAGTTTTTCACAAATAAAGACAGGTCCTTCTATGAACGAGGAATTCTGAAGCTCAATGAAAGATGGCAAGAGGTTATCAAACAAAATGGGCAATATATCATTGATTGATCTTTGTTCTTTATATAAATAAATGCCCTTTGAAAAACAGACAAAATACGTCATGACTTTTCCGACAACCGAATAGCAGGATTCACGTTCCCCTCAGTCACATTGGAAAGACTTCCTAACACTAGTAGAGTCCTCAGAATATTACTGTCTCACTAATGCAACAAAATTGGACTTCAAATAATAGCTGTTCTGGGCCCATCTAAGAAAGCTTAAAAGCAAGCCTGAAAAAGATTAAACTGATTCTACATCACTGAATTGCATCCCAGAACAAAGCCCAAAAATACACACAGGAATACAAAAAAAATTCAACACCCAG